CATTAGGAGTTTCCTCAGCAGCTTCGAGGCCTGACCACCGCCCAGTTTTGCCACGCTCGTGCCCGCTGCCTGTCGGACAGCCAGGAGGTTCCGTCTGGCCACCCCGATGTCAGATCTTCTGACGAAGGCGGTTCCCCCTCGTCCTCGTCCTCGTCCTCGCCCCCCTCTCCTCCCCCGTGCGCGTGGTGCAAGCCTTTTTGTTTCTCTGCTAGTTTTGGCATCTGTACATATAGCACATCAGCTTATTTCGGTAGCATTTTTGGCAATCATGATTTGCAGCGCCAGCGTTCGAGCAAGGTCTCTAAACTATTCGCTAAATACCAGGTTGTCATGTTTCAGGAGGTCCATGGGTCCGGTCAGGATCTCTCGAGCCTCTATCGTGATTTTCCTAGGTTTGAATACTTCGGTAGCTTCTGTTCGTCCCATCGGGCGGGGGGAATCACGATTTCGATGTGTTCTAGGCTCTTCTCCTCCTTTCCTCGAATATCAAAGGAAGTTATCGAAGTTGGTCGCATCTTGATCCTCTCCCTTTCAGGTCCCTCAGGCGCTCTGCAGATTGGCAACATACATATTAATCCGCTACATCCTCCTCTAGCTAGACAAGGGCTTCTTCGCAGAATACGTAGGCATGTGCGCGGCGCTGATCAAGCGCTCTGTTTCTGCGGCGGCGATTTCAACTACTTGGGAAGCGGCGAGCACTGGGTATCCATCTCTGATGGAAGCTCCCGAGGTGAAGCTCCAGGCACGATCGACGTCTTCCATCAGCTCTTTCGTGATCTAGCAGAAGTCGAACAGGTTGAATTCACTCATAGGTGTCGTCGAGGCTCGGTCGACTGGGTAGAATATATACCAATTGTCCGACGGCTGATCTGTTGGATATGCATCCGCGCGCTGGTGTTCTCGGCGATCCCATGGCACCGTTCGAACCTTCGGACCGCGTTCCTGTCTTCGTGCAAGTGTTCCCTGGCTGCGTAGGCCCCACTCGGCTGCAGAGATGGATCACCTCGCGCCCTGACTATTGCCAGCTTCTGGAGGCTGCCGCCGAGAAATTTGGTTTGTCCGACGACCCCTTCGAGAGGCTCCAGGAGCTGAAGGATTGCATGTTCTATATTAAAGAAGTACTCGCTCGTCTTTCTATATATATATATATATATATATGGACCCGTCACCCCTCTACAACGTATTGCTATATGTTTGAAAATGCTTCGCTGTTTTCGGGGTGGTTCTATGGCTGGGATGGTACGGATGTGTCTTACCTCGTGCCCCTTCCTCGAAAAGTTCGCTACTCCCGATGGCTTCATAGATAGAAATGGCTTTCGCCAGCATGTCGCCGAGCTACACCTAGAGGTGCCCCAGGAGGACCTCCCCAGGGCTCTCGAGCCTCACGATGGCCAGGCCGTATCTCGTCAAGACCCCGCCATTACCCGCATCCAGCAGTGCATGAGGACTTGGAGCCCCGAACGTCGCCGCGTTTCTCTTGCAGGTTGCGTGTCTGATGACGGCCAGCCTCAAACCCTCGAGGAAAGTGTTGCTAGTCTTCGCAGACATTGGGCCGCTGTGCATAGGGCGCCCCATGATACTGCGGGTGCTACGTTAGGAGATTTTGCTCCTCAAGCTCGCCGGTTTTTAGAGCTGCACATTGGTGAAGTTAGCAGCGGCATCGAGTGGGCAATCCTTTATGATGTATTCGCGGGTCTTATCTCTCACAGGAAACGTGATGCGGCTCCTGGTCCAGATGGCATCCCTTACTCTGCGTGGCGGTGCGGTGGAGATCTCACTCGATCAGCTGCTCTGCATGATGCGTTTGTGGCTCTTTTGCGAGGCGCCCGCCTCCCGCCCGGATTTAACCACGGCTATGTTGCGTTCCCTCCCAAGAATGCTGAGGCAGACTCCCTTGCGGTTCTTCGTGGACCTGGTCAAACTCGTCCGATCGTCTTCTCGAACACAGACAACAAGTTAATATCTGGTGGGTTATCTGTCCCCTCGGGCTCTCAAGCGCAGTTTTCGGTTGCATCGTTTCAGACTGGGGGCATTAAGAAGCGTAACATCTTCAACAACATCTTTAACCTGGATGGCTCTCTGCTCGAGCATGCATGTTTCAAAGGCTTTGAGACGGCCGGCATCCTTCTATTAGACCTGGTTGCCGCGTTCCCCTCACCGTTGCACTCTTGGACCTTTTTCGTTCTGAGCTCGCTCGGCGCACCTGCGCACTCTACTGGTGCGATACGAGGGCTCTACTCTGACATGTATGTCAATATTCTGATGGGAGGGGAGATCTTCGATGGACTCAAGATCGAAACTGGTGTGAAACAAGGCTGTCCCCTGTCCGCTCTCATCTTTAACTTGTGTTTCGACCCCGTGCTGCGGGTCATAGATAGGTGGGTCCAGCCGATGCCTGGCCGCGCCCTTGCGTTCATGGATGATGTGGGCATCGCTGCCAGTGACATTGTCCGCACTGTTGAGAAGGTTCTTAAGCTGTTCCAGATTTCGTCTCCTCTAACGGGGCTCAAGCTGAACTACTCCAAGTGTGTCGTTGTCGTTCCTTCGGATGCTTTGATTATCCAGGTCCGTGCCCTCTTGGGTGCTCGTCGGGCCCCTGTGGGTCAGCTTACTTTTCGCACTCGCGGGAAATACCTGGGCGTTCACGTTTGCCCTGGTGGGCCTTCTGCTTCGTGGTCTGGGCCGACTCGACAATTCGTCGCTCGCGGGGGCTATGTGAAAGGTCTGAATTTGGGCCTCAACCTCGGCTTCAAAGAATACAACATCCTCGCCTTCCCCGTGCTCTGCCATGTCCTCCAGCTGTTGCCTGTTCCGCCCCTCGTCCGACAAGCCGAACAGACGGTCCTACAGAGATTGACTGCGAGCCCGAGGTTCGCCATCCCCACTGACGCTCTCCGCCACTTCTCTGGATATGGAGTTCAGTGTAGTCCGAGGCCGCCCTTGCTTGAGAATCGTGCTGCCATGTATCGAGCCAGCGCGGGATCGACGGCTGCTCAGGCAATGTTCTCTCGCTTGTGCAATCTGGAACAGGAAGACTGGGATGTGTTGGTGGTGCGCCGATTCCCCTCGTGGCTGAGCTCAAGCATTTGTTTTTCGTGCCTCATGAACTACAAGAGCCTGTCGGCGATTCCGCGATTCGTGGGCAAGTTCGATGAAAGCACTGTCCATATCCAAGGGAAGGTTGTTCGTTTCCTTCGATCACAAGAGCTGAGCCCCTGTTCCAGGCTTCTCCAACCCCGAATTCGGCACTTTGATTCCCAAGCCCCCGAATGGCACACGAACCGAATTTTCCTGAATATCAGATTGGCGAATCGTCTGCTTGCCCCGTCTACAGCTGTCGCCTATATGAAATCTATTTGCAACGCCTGGCCGACGACAAAGAGATATCGCCAAGCCTGCTGCCCCTGTAGGTTCTGTGGTGAAGAGAGCGGTGACAGTATTCGCCATATGTTCGAGTGTCCTGTGCTCATCCCTGCCTTGATTCGTGTCCTCCCCGCCCTTCCTGCGCCCTTTTCTTCTTGCTCTGCTCTGATGCGTGTCCTTGTCACTGATTTTCAGCTGTCTCAGGACCAGCTCCTGGCCTGCCTTCTCGTTCATGATCTTGCATTCGCTACCTATAATGCTGTGAGGCACTTCGGGCGACAAGGTCCCGACGCAACCCCGGATCTTGTGATTGCCCGTGCCCGCGTCCTGTCCAAGCGTTCCCGTCGATGCAGAGACATCCTTATGGCCCGTTAACATCATCATCATCATCATCAGCATCATCATCATCATTGTCGTCGTCGTCGTTGTCGTCGTCACCGCCGTCACCATCGCCAACATCATCAGCATCACCACCACAATCATATTCACCATAAGCAGCAGCAGCAGCAGCAAAGCATCATGTTGGTCCATGATCCTATTCGCGAGTCTGGGCTGCCCCCTGCCTTTCCAGGGCGCATGACCTTGTGGCTAAACAGTGGACATGAGTTTGGACAAGCTGTCGGACTACGTCTGTGTCCCCCCCGTCCGTTCTGGAAATCATTGGGGCCTACTTTGGTGAAGAAGGGGGGCGAGGAGGAGGGAAGGGAGGAAAACAAAGTCGAAGAAGAGGCCGCTCGGACGCCTCTTGTGGGACTATTGGGGGCCTCTCTGGGCCATATTGGCGCCACATGTTGGTAGACTTGGAGGCCGCCTTGGGATCATCTGGGGCCGTCTTGGGGGCCTCTTGGGACGTCTTGGGCGGTTTTAGGGGCGTGCTGGGCCGTTGGGCACTGCTAAGTCCGAAAATTCAGGGCAGAATTAGATACCTGCAGAATCTTACTTGGGGGCCTCTTCGGCCGTCTTGTGCCATCTTTGGTCCATCTTGGGCCTCTTGGGTGCCCTCTTGGACCTCTCGGTGGCCATCTCGGACCGTCTTGGGTCGTCCTGGAGGCCATCTGCGGCCATGCTGGTCATCTTGAAGGCCCTCTTGGAGCCATCTTTGGCGGGCAATCTGATGGGAGCTGGTTTTTTATTGACGTCTCAGGGTGGCCGGCGGGATGCGCCGAGTTCTGCTGGGAACCTGATGGAAGGGACAGAAAGAATCATGAAACTCGGCACGGCAGCACCCCTCCGCAGGCTGAGCGGGCGGCGGATCGATTGGCCGTCGGCCCATCCCGCCTGTACGCTGGAGATTGCCGGGGTCTCGTTGGATCTTTCTGGGGCCTCTTCGAGGGCGCCTGGGGCCGCTCCTGAAGCATTGCTCCTGCGCGCAGCTGGTTCTCTGGATAATCTTGCGTTCAACCTGGCCATTACTGCTATGATTGCCCGCGCCAGTACGAGACGGTCGAGGGGTCAGAGTTGTTGACGTCGTGACGCTATTGCGACGTCGCGCGCCTGGGAACGTTTGCACCCCGCCACCTGGAAGAAAGAGGAAAGGCAGCGCATTGTAGCAGAAGCCGAGTATCTAGTGGGGTCGCACCCCGCAAGATCTCCGAGCCAATGATTGATCAAGCCAATGCGGGTCAAGAGTTCAGTGGATGCTAGACATCCGGCGAGGATCACAGCAAGGCGAGAATTTCTTCAAAGCGGCAATTAAAAATTGTGGTAGGACAAAAGAATGGAGCACCGCACTGCAGCTATTCTGCGAAGTGTCTCGGCTGCGCTCGGCAGTCAGTCCAGGCTGTTACGTTGCAGCCGTCGGCGCATGCGGCAAAGGAAAACAGTGGCAGCAGTCTCTGGCGCTGCTCAGCGAGATGTGGGAGGCGACGCTGAAGCCCGACGTCATCAGCTGCAGCGCCGGGATCAGCGCGTGCGAGAAGGGCGAGCAGTGGCCGCAGGCTCTGGCGCTGATCGGCGATATGTGGGAGGCGCAGCTGAAGCCTGACGTCATCTGCTGCAACGCTGGGATCAGCGCGTGCGAGAAGGGTGAGCAGTGGCAGCGAGCTCTTTCGCTGCTTAGCGAAATGTGGGAGGCGAGGCTAGAGCCCGACGTCAGCTCTCCTACAGCAGCGGGAGCAGTGCGTGCGAGAAGGGTTTCTGGACAGAGTGCTTTCCCGCGGCTCCGAGCCGCTGAAGAGGGCCCCACGACGGCCCCACGACGGCTCCGAGACGCTCCAGAGGCCGCCCCGACGGCCCACAGACGGCTCCGAACCGCTCAAGAGGGCGCCCCCACGACCCTAAGACGGCCCCGAGCCGCTCCAGAGGCCACCCCGACGGCCCCAGGGGCGCTCCGAGCCGCTCAAGAGGCCGCTCCGACGGCCCAAAGGCCCCCAGGGCAGGCCAGGAGCTTCCGAAGACGGCCCTCGAAGATTCCCCAGGACAGCTCCGAAACGCAAAAATCGCCCCATTGAACAATTCAAAGTTTTAGCATTTTCGGCCTTTTCGTTTCCGACGTGTTCACGGGTCACAGAGCCCCCCACCATCGTCCAAAGATGGCCCCATCAGGGCCCCAAGACGAGCCCAGGACGGTCAAGAGGCGCCCAAGACGGCCCAAGAGACACCCAGAGACAGCCACAGAGACGGCCCCAGACGACCCCAGACGGCCGGAACACGGCTCAATAGGCGCCCAAGACGGCCCACGACGGCCCCAAGACGGTTTGGAAGGCACCCAAGACAGCCCCAAGAGCCGCCCAAGACGGTCCAAGACGGCCCAAGAGGCGCCCAAAACGGCCCAAGACGACTCCGAGACGGCCCAAACGGCACCGACGAGAGCCCAAGAGTACCTCAAGAGGCCCGTTCGAAGCCGAAAAGAAGCCCAAGCGGCCCCCATACGGTCCCCAAGAGGCTCTAAGAGGCTGCAGGATTCCCATCAACAGAGGGGGGGCGGACGAGAGGTGAGAGGCAGAACGCAGGCCCCAACAGCCGTAGTCGAGGCTCGCAGGAGGAGGAGGAGGAAACCCCAGAAGGCCCTGAAGAGAGCATTATGAGGGTCCATATGGCGCACGGAGCTCTGAACGTGGCCCCAAGATGGCCCAAGAGGAGCCCAGACGGCCCAAGAGGGTCCCAACAGACCCCGAAGAGGCCCACAAGAGGAACCCTGAGAGGATTTCAACCCCCCAAGAGGCCCAAACAAGCTTCAAAGCTGCCTCCAAGAGAGGGGCCCCGGCGCTCCTGACACGCCCGGGAGAGCTTCGCCTTCAACAGAACAACAGAACGGCTTTCCCAACGTAGCGGAGCACGTCCGACCCAGCAGCGGTTCCTGCAAGATCTGATTTAATCGCTTCGCTCATGCCGCCAGTCCTTATTGTCGCTCTGTCGAATTGGGGGTGTATTTCTGAGGGGGTCGCAGTGACTGCGTCGCAGATTCTGGCGCCGTTGTCCTGGGGCAGTCGTGGGTGATCACGGGTCTGGTCGGTGATTTGCTTGTGCCGGTGAGGGGTTGATGATTCTGGATGGTCGTTGTGGGGCCATGTCGCAGATCGGAGGTATTCGTCGTAAGTTTGGGACTTTCTGTTTTGGAGGTTGGCGGCTTGTGAATGCGACCGCAGGAAGAGAAGGAGGAGGAGGAGGAAGAGGAGGAGGAGGAGGAGGAGAGTGAGGAGGAGGAGGAGGAGGAGGAGGAGGAGGGGAGGAGGAGGAGGAGGAGGAGGAGGAGGAGGAGGAGGAGGAGGAGGAGGAGGAGGAGGAGGAGGAGGAGGAGGAGTTGGGAGGATGAGATGGAAGAGGAGGAGGGGAAGGAGGAGGAGGAAGAGGAGGATGAGGAGCAGGAGGAGATGAAGCCTCTTGGGTTGTCTTGGCGGTCTATTGTGCCGTCTTGAGGCCATCTTGGGCGGCCTGTGGCGATGGTGGCGGCTCTTCGGCCCCTCTTGGGGCCGGCGCCTCCTGACAGCAGCCTCCTTTTAAGAAGCCTTGCCCCCCTCCCCCTACCCCCTTGTGCGCGCCGCCAAGAGAGCGGAGGAGGAGGGCTGAGGAGGCGGAGGAGGGCGGGGAGGGGAGTGGGCGGGTCCTGCAGGGCGGGTCCATGGCAGGGTCCATTTCGATCCATTTCGATACGATCTCGATCCTCCGCCTCCTCCTCCTCCCCCTCCTCCTCCTCCTCCTCCTCCTCCTCCTCCTCCTCCTCCTCCTCCTCCTCCTCCTCCTCTCCTGTCTCCCCCTCATCCCTCCTCCTCCGCATGCTCCTCCTCCCCCTATCGTTCTGCATCCTCCTTGTCCTCCTCCCTCCTCGTTCTCCCCCCCTCCTCTCCTCCTCCCTGCTCCTCCTCCTCCCGCCTTCTCCGCCTCCCGCACCGAAAATTGAGCGGGCGGGTCCCGGAGGGAGAGGGGCGCCTGGCAGGGTCCATTTCGATCCGATTCGAGGTTCTAGGTGTTCGAGGCTCTCTAGGAGGGCTTCGTGAGGCTCTCGTGGGGCTTCTTGGCGGTGTCTTGGCCCGTCTGAGGGCCATCTTGGGCGTCTTGGGACGCTCGTGCGGGTCGGCAAGCCAGAAAGTTCAATTCGTGTTCCTCCGATGGGGCTCCTCTTAGGGCTCTGTCTTGGGCTGTCCAGGGGGCCTCGTGTGCCGTCTTGGGGCCCTCTTGGGCCGCGTTGGGCCCATGTTGGGAGTCTGTTGGGCCGTCTTGGGGCGATCTTGAAGGTCTCTTGGGCAGTGTTGGACGCGCTGGACCTCGAAACGTCGCATATGCGCAAAATGTACGTTTGCTGAGGGGAATCTGGCACTTTTTGCTTGTTGAGGCTCTCTAGGAGAGCCTCTTGAGGCTCTCTTGGGGCTTCGTGGCGGCGGCTTGGGCCGTCTGGCGGCGACCGAGGGCCCCTCGGACCGTCTCGAGCACGTCACGTGGCTCTCTTGGAGCGTTTCTGGGGCGCTCGGGAAAGCCTGGAACGCAGCGCCGAGAAGGATCACCATCTCTGGGCCTCACCTGGCCGAGACCTGCCCGGGTACTTTTCGTTCGGGGGCCCCCAGGGGCCGCCCCACGCGGGCGAACAAGAAAATTGTGAACCAGTTACCGGAGTTCTTAGCACGCCTCTGGCCCGTTGGGCCGGCGAATCAAGTTTCACACCCTCTTGAAGCTCTCTTGGGCCCTCCTTGGAGATCCTCGCGAGCCTCCCCGGCGCTCCCGGTGGCTTCCCCCCGCCTTCCGAACCCTTACCCGGGCGGTTTTGAGATGCCTCGGATGGGATTCGATTTTGACGCGCATCCCCGAGAGACTTCAAAACTGCCCCCAGTAGGGGGGGGGAGGGGCGAACGAGCCGTGCGCCAAGGCCAAGCTGCTGGAGCGCTGCAAGAGCTCGGACACAAAAGGTATGGTCTCGCTGCCGCCGCCCCAGCTGCCGCCGTGATGAGGGGGGGGGGGGCGAACGAGCCGTGCGCCAAGGCCAAGCTGCTGGAGCGCTGCAAGAGCTCGGACAGAAAAGGTGTGGTCTCGCCGCCGCCGCCCCAGCTGCCGCCGTGATAGGGGGGGGTGGGGGCGAACGAGCCGTGCGCCAAGGCCAAGCTGCTGGAGCGCTGCAAGAGCTCGGACAGAAAAGGTGTGGTCTCGCTGCCGCCGCCCAAGCTGCCGCCGTGATGGGGGGGGGGGGGCGAACGAGCCGTGCGCCAAGGCCAAGCTGCTGGAGCGCTGCAAGAGCGCTCGGACAGAAAAGGTGTGGTCTCGCTGCCCGCCACCCCAGTTGTCGCCGTGATAGGGGGGGGGGGGGGGGCGAACGAGCCGTGCGCCAAGGCCAAGCTGCTGGAACGCTGCAAGAGCTCGGACGCAAAAGGTGTGGTCTCGCTGCCGCCGCCCCAGCTGCCGCCGTGATAGGGGGGGGGGGGGGGGGCGAACGAGCCGCGCGCCAAGGCCAAGCTACTGGAGCGCTGCAAGAGCGCTCGGACAGAAAAGGTGTGGTCTCGCTGCCGCCGCCCCAGCTGCCGCCGAGATGGGGGGGGGGGGGGGGGGCGAACGAGCCGCGCGCCAAGGCCAAGCTGCTGGAGCGCTGCAAGAGCTCGGACACGAAAGGTGTGGTCTCGCTGCCGCCGCCCCAGCTGCCGCCGTGATGGGGGGGGGGGGGGGGCGAACGAGCCGTGCGCCAAGGCCAAGCTGCTGGAGCGCTGCAAGAGCTTGGACACAGAAAGTGTGGTTTCGCCGCCGCCGCCCCAGCTGCCGCCGTGATTATAGGTTTTCGGCGGAATCTCTGGCCTTCCCCCAGAAACCATTCTAGAAAGATGTCGTGGACGAGTCCACGGGTCAGCCCTAGTGTCTACTACATTGCAGGGCCCAGTGCGTGCCAGAAGGGCGCAGGCTCCAATGAGTCAAAACCGCCCCGGGCTGGCCCCGGGCCGCCCCGGGCCGCCCAGGCAGGCTCCAGGACATGTCGAGAGGGCCCCCAGAAGCCCCCAAGTCGGCCCCGGAGAGCCCCGGCACGCTTAAAGATGGGCCCCCAGACGGCCCAAGAGGCGTCCAAGACGCCCGAAGAGGCCCCCCAAGAGGCCCCCCAAGAGGGCCCCGAGCGACAGAATCGTTGATTTTTATTGTGTTTTTCTATGTTTTCGGCCTCCTCGCCTCTTCGGCTTCCCGACGCTCCAAGACGGCCCAAGAAGTCCCCCCGACCGTTCCAAAACGGCCGACCTCCTCGCCTCTTCGGCTTCCCGACGCTCCAAGACGGCCCAAGAAGTCCCCCCGACCGCTCCAAGACGGCCGAAGAGGACCCCAAGAGAGCCCCAAGACGGGCCAGGAGGGCCCCAAGACGGTCCCAAGACGCCCCAGGACGGCCCCAGGACGGCCAAGGAGGCGCCCCAGACGGCCCAAGAGGCACCCAAGACGGCCCCAATAGCGGCCGAAGACGGCCCAAGACAGCCCAAGAGGCGCCGAGGCGGGGCTCAGACGGCCCCAAGACGGCCCAAGAGGCACCCAAGACGGCCCGAGAGGGCCTTAGCCCCCCCGGGAGGCCCAAAAGAAGGCCGAAGAGGCTCCGAAACGGCCCCCACGAAGCCTTCAGTGGCTTCAGAATTCCCTCCAGGAGCGGGGGAGCGGACGAGAGGCGACAGGCATATCGCAGGCAAAAACGCCCCAAGAGGTCC